AACTCTTAAAAAAAGTAGCCTATTTTTCAACCTAGCTCATAAGCTATCTGTGTGAAATCTTCCGTGCAAATCAATTCACTCATTTCCACGTATTAATTAAATTAAACATTTCAAACAGGTGGCAACTTAAAAAAAGTAGCGTACTTTCTATCCTAGGGCATAAGCTATCTGTATGCAAAATTTCATGCAAATCTGCTTAGTCGTTTCCGCGTATTAATTTAATTAAACTTTTTTAACAGGTGGCAACTTAAAAAAAGTAGCGTACTTTCTATCCTAGGGCATAAGCTATCTGTATGCAAAATTTCATGCAAATCTGCTTAGTCGTTTCCGCGTATTAATTTAATTAAACTTTTTTAACAGGTGGCATCGCTTCTAAAAAATTCGCCTATTTTCCACTGTAGGTCATAAGCTATCTGCTTGCAAAATTTCATGCAAATCCATTCAGTCGTTTCCGCGTATTAATTTAATGAATCTTTTTTAACAGGTGGCAACTCTTAAGAAAAGTGGTCTATTTTCCAGTCTAGGTCATAAGCTATCTGTGTGCAAATTTTCATGCAAATCCATTCAGTCGTTCCCGCATATTAAATAAATTAAACTTTTTTAACAGGTGGCAACTCTTAAAAAATATCCTATTAACCAATCTGGCCTATACGCTATCTGCATACCAAATTTCATNGAATCTTTTTTAACAGGTGGCAACTCTTAAGAAAAGTGGTCTATTTTCCAGTCTAGGTCATAAGCTATCTGTGTGCAAATTTTCATGCAAATCCATTCAGTCGTTCCCGCATATTAAATAAATTAAACTTTTTTAACAGGTGGCAACTCTTAAACAAATATCCTATTAACCAATCTGGCCCATACGCTATCTGCGTACCAAATTTCACACAAATCCGCTCAGGCGTTTCCGCGTGATGATTTCCCAAACATCCAAACATACAAACTTTCACATTTATAATATTAGTAAGATATATATATATCTGATTTTAATCAAGTGAACTGAGTGGGAGAAAGTGCGAAAGGCCCCAGCAAAAAAAATATCAAAAACCAACAGTAATTTTCAGCTCTTCGAACGTGCACATTATTATACTAAAATTAAATTGGCTTCGAAAAATTACGAGAAAAAATGAGACAATTTTGATTAAATTTTTGTTTAATTTGTTGAATTTTTGTGGGTTTTGTCTAAAGTTTGAAACTTTGACTTATATGACGTATGTTATGCATTAATATATATTTTCATAAAAAAATAAGTGAAAAAATTTATCAGTTAAATATTGTATGTATATTCNATTATACTAAAATTAAATTGGCTTCGAAAAATTACGAGAAAAAATGAGACAATTTTGATTAAATTTTTGTTTAATTTGTTGAATTTTTGTGGGTTTTGTCTAAAGTTTGAAACTTTGACTTATATGACGTATGTTATGCATTAATATATATTTTTATAAAAAAATAAGTGAAAAAATTTATCAGTTAAATATTGTATGTATATTCTATTAGCTAATTCAAGCAATTGGATTAAAAAATTAGAGTTTTTTAATGGAATCATGCCAGTGCATTAATATATATTTTCATAAAAAAATAAGTGAAAAAATTTATCAGTTAAATATTGTATGTATATTCATTAGCTAATTCAAGCAATTGGATTAAAAAATTAGAGTTTTTTAATGGAATCATGCCAGTGCGGGGAATTTCAGCGAAAATCGGGGAATTTCGCGTTGGAGTACGGGGAGAAATTAAACGGGAGTTTGCATCCCTTGAGTGTAATAAGTTTCGATGAAATCGCTTTTTTATTAAAGTTCACCCCTTATATCGATTTTTAGTAATTTTGCTGCACTAGTTACTTAAATATCGTAGTTTTCGTATTTTCCAAAAATACCGGTATATGGAAGGCAAGCGCTTTCGATAGAAGCAACATTTTGATATGAAAGAAAATGTTTTTCAAAGCTAATGTAATTCCCTTTCATGAAAAAGTATTGGCAANTCGATGAAATCGCTTTTTTATTAAAGTTCACCCCTTATATCGATTTTTAGCAATTTTGCTGCACTAGTTACTTAAATATCGTAGTTTTCGTATTTTCCAAAAATACCGGTATATGGAAGGCAAGCGCTTTCGATAGAACCAACATTTTGATATGAAAGAAAATGTTTTTCAAAGCTAATGTAATTCCCTTTCACGAAAAAGTATTGGCATTGAGCCTCAATTACTCCTTGACCTTAAAAAAATTGGTCTAATATAGTGTTCTTCGAAAAAAAAACATGCAAAATCCACTGGATCTATTACAAAAAAAAAAAAAAATTTTATATGTTTTATTATACTGATAAAAGATTTTTGAGACGAGAAACATGATTCCTCTGTTTAAAAATCGAAAAAAAAATTGAACACCTCAATTTAGCAAATGAGTCAAACCACGCCAACTGTGTCAATGAATTTTCATTGATTTTCTGGAAAGTGAAGACAATTGTGGGAATCTGTAGATAATTATAGAACAAAAATACACTTTGGACGGTTTTTCGAAATTGCACTTCGTTTTTGTTTAAAGGTGAGAAAAAAATCGATAGCGACTGACAAAATTGAAAAGACCATTTTTTTCTTTTTGGAACTTAAAAACAAGACTTTAGAGTATATTGTGCCAAAATTTCACTGCAATCGCAGGCCTAGAAGATCTAAATAATTGCAATTGTTTAAATTATTGTTATTAAAGAATGAATTGTTTTGCGAATTTTATTCTGCAAATCTTTCTATTGTAAAGGGAAAAGCTTCAGCAACTCTCAAAAAACATTTCATCGAATTTCATCAAATGGGTCGCGAGTTACGAATTTTTCTCTCAAAAATTGCAATATTCTTATAATACCAAAAAAAAAAAAAAAAACGAAGAGCAATTTCGAAAAACCGTCCAAAGTGTATTTTTGTTCTATNAGTGTATTTTTGTTCTATAATTATCTACAGATTCCCACAATTGCCTTCACTTTCCAGAAAATCAATGAAAATTCATTAACACAGTTGGCGTGGTTTGACTCAAATGCATTATTTATAGTGATAGAACTTTTTAGAAAAGTATCGATACTAGTACTCATATAGAATACTCTAAAAAAGTATCGATGCCAGTACTCATATTTGCAAGAAAGTATCGATAATACTCGTACTTCCTAGTATTCTCAAAGCAAACGCAAAAAGTAAACAAAAATCAGATTGCTTTGCTTTTTTCGCCTCTTCCTATTTGTAAATTGAATATTTTATAATTTTTTGACGCGTACATGTATTTATAAATAACTTTACTTTGAAAATGAAATGTAAATGTTGAAGACGAGAAGCAGATGTGGTGAAGCCCATTCTCTATTGGAAAGATAAGCTCTTTTTTATAAAAATTTTCTTCAAGAATGGGCTGGATTTCACAACGAAGGTAGAATACATGGGTTAACGACGGCTGCCTTATGCTGGAGAGTGGCCAAGTTGTCGAGTCGAAAGACTATCCTCTTCCACCATTTATTATCAAAGGGGAGGCAAGATATTCGTTTTTCAATTATTTAAATATTTTTACCCGAAGCCAATGTTGAAATGACCGCTACATTTTTTTCTAGGTTGTGTAAAAATTGCATAACTGTGTCAATTACCAGGAGCTTACTAGAACAAAATATGTATTAATTATTAGAACAGGAGTATACATATGTGAAAATTTTGGGAAATCAAGTTTGAAAGTTTTTTTGCGACACTTAGCTCTACATTTATGCAATTGAAATGCTTCCGTGTAAGCATGGTATTCTAGGTTTTGGTATAACATAGAAAATCCAAGGATTAACCAAGTCAACCCAATAACTCAAAACTGATAAATTTGCACATTCATTCTGGCATGAGAGTGGCGTTATTTGAATTAAAAACTTTAAAGGCGTGTTTCTCGGGTTTTCAGTTTTTTGAGTTATGAAAGTACTGAAGTAAATGAGCTTTATGTTCATTTTCATAACATTCATATTGGATATTGAAGTTAATATTCGAACGTTCGCCACAATATTTATTGGGTAATTTAAAAAAAATTTACCTAAAAAAGTTACTAACTCGTCGATACTTTTCAGCATTCGCGATATTTACTCAGTACTTGTGAAAAACATCGAGTTCTCGATACTACTCAGTACTCATAAAAAGTATCGATATTCTGTAGTCGGTACTCATATCGCTCAATCACTAATTATTGATTGAATTTTTTTATTTGCATGCAGCTGGGCATTCTGTGCTGTGGATTCAAGATCTTAAATTTGAGTTGAGGTAGAAATTTTTAGGCCCACTGAGAGCCAAGTTATAACAATTTTAAACGAAACTTCGAAACTGCTGTACGAGTTTTTACTCTCAAATTATAACGAAAATTTGCAAAAACGTCTAATGAAATTTCGAAGTTTAACTTCAGAATCCGATGGAAAACCGAAACTTTTTTCTTTGATGAGGCACCCTAATGTGCATGTTAAAGGTTCATCACAATCAAAATTATTACGAACTAAGTAGCACTTCGCCGTTCGCACTCGGCGTAAAACTGTAGGCCCTCCCCATTGTGGGACAACGTCAAGGCGCATGCCACAAGTCAGAGGAGAAGCTCGGCCAAACACTAACATATTGTGTAAGTGGCAATCTATTATTATTATTAGGTAGCACTTTAAACAATTTAATTACTTGCTGGTATTACGTTGACTAAATATATTAAAATTAACAAACAGTTGTCTCTTCCTCTGCTATAACATCCTCCAACTTCGCCGACATTTGGTCAATCTTTACGAAATTCAAAGATTCGTCAACGTTTACAAAATAGGTAGGTATATGACCACGCCCTTTCACGAGTGTATACCCCCGATAAGTACACTTAACATTATAAGTTTTCAATATTTTTGCTGTATTCTCTGTAACTTGAATGGCGCCGGCGATACCAGTGGAATCCATACGCGATGCCATGTTCACCGCGTTTCCCCAAATGTCATAATGAGGTTTGTAAGAGCCCACTACTCCCGCCATCACAGGGCCGTTGCAGATGCCTTAAAAAAAAACAAATTAACTATGATTAACAACAAATAAGCATTCGTTATTACCAATTCGCAAAGCACCTCTGTCCTCGTCATCGTCTTCGCATTGCAAATTCTCGACGTTAAAGGACTTCATTGTGCGCATCAGATCCATAGCGAACTCCAGCATTACGAATACGACATCGTTATATTCCTCGGACTTAGAGCTCTTCTTATTATGGCCCTCGTACTCCTGTAGACGTATGTTTTGAGCGCCTTTGCTTGTTGTAGGCAGCTCCTCATCATCGACAACTTCAAATCCTTCTTCTATGTCATGCTGTCTGCTTGCTGGAATAAAATATTTGATAAATAAGTTCTATCGAGCGTTCTGATTGCTAAATTTCTTACAATAATGGCTTCTTCGCCCATTTGGCAGCAGCGAAGAGCTGCGATAAGCTGTTTGAGTTTTTCGGTGCTCGGACCGTTTTGGATCCAGACCACACGCTGCCATATAAGTCCAGCCGGCCACTTTAATTTTTTCAACCTTTCTCGAGCCTCGATAAGTACTCAACTAGAAAAAGATGATGTAAGTTTTCTATTTATTATTATCTACTCGCAATGTACAAATCATGTACGTTAGTTACATTATTACGGATTATAGAAGAGACTGATGTTGGCGCACGCTATAAAAACGTATTGACAGTGTTCTCGCTAGCAAAACCTATAACAGCGGTCAAATAGCAATTTGGGACTGGAATATATGTATGGGAAAAAGAAGTCTGATGTGACTTATTTGATGTAAGGAAAATATGATGAAACCAAAGACCGAACCTCAGAAGCCTCTTTGGCGTCTCTAGATTAATAGCGACACAGTCGACAAATTAAGCCTTCGCAATGTATTTTTTGCTAAGGACTGAGCCTGAGCGACTTCCAAACGACCTGAAGCCCATAGATGCTTCCGTATAAACCCTAAAAGAACAATAAATCAACGTTTGTGATCGGCGGAAGCTACATTTCCTATGCTTTTAATGATCCGAGAACCAATCAAGATATGCAGGTACATTCAAAAACAACACGAAGAAAGCTTGGCGTCTTAAAAATTAAAGCACATTCAAAAACAACTGGTAGGATAAGAAGGAAGAAAACAAAAAATTGGTACGCAGCACGACCAAAAGGGGCTACACAGGTTTCATGAACAGCGACGTGATTGCTGAAGTTCTGAGCCCATTTCCACTTGTCAGGTTGACGTAACCGGAACGACCCGGATTTATATCTGGCTAAGGACTGTCACTCCCACAACGTTTTCTAAAACTATAAAGAATTTGTAGGCCGTTATAACAGCAATAGCGGCATATACTTTGAAAGCCAGAGTCTGAGTCTCCATTATTTGTACTCGTCTAGGACCGAATTCGAATAGCTACAGAGGGGTTCAAAAATAATGAACTATTTGAATGCGGCAGACTGAGCATACTGAGCTGCATACTGGCCTTTAAACGCTTGCAGCGAGTTGCTTGTTGTTGTTGTTGTTGTTGTTGCCCTCAACATCGTATGTAGGCAACAATATCATCAGCTGTTGGCTTCAGAACAAAATAAAATGTGCCGAACTGAACGGTGAAACGTACTTCAGTACCCTCTCCGGAACAAATGTTTTCGAGAGCAAATAAAAAGTTGTCCGGATACGAACGGTGAATCCGCCTTTATTATTTGAATTGTCTAACCCACAAATCGTGAAGCTACGGCTGATCTCAGATTCCTCTAAAAACCAATGAGAGCTTGCACTTACTCGGAAAACCCCGAAAATCCTACCCACAACCTTGGACTGAGTAGACAGTTACGTAGCAAATCCATTTCTTGGCGAGCAAAGTATTGAATTCCTCCATATCTTGGCCTCGCAGTTAAACTAATTGTATATTTGTTGTACTCATACCCAACTTGCCTATATCTGGCTGTTGTCCGTTTTTTTAATTTTTTTGGGTGTAAGCCCGATTTGAATAACTTTATAGAAATTCAGTAACTTTCCAACTTGTGACCTGGGGTCTTGAACATAAGTAAAAGTAGCCATCCAGAACGACATTTTGTTCCCAATCGTGCCTACGCTAAGACCGAATATTGACTCTTAGCAACACAGGAGCTAAACATATGTAGTTAATGGGGCTTTGCCTCAAATGAGTAATTTTGGACTGTACGGGACTAACAGTGTTTTATAAACATGTTAATTGAGTGCTCTGAAATCCCAAAACTTACCACTTCGTCAAAGTCACAAATAATCTCGTTTAAAACTCGTATGCCCACTTGTTCTGTGTCATAATTTCGTATAGTTGCAAACATAACGGCAACATTATCGTACTCCTCATAGTAGAGTTCATTTGTCATCTGTCGCGACATGTAAATATCGGCTGTAATGAGTAAGGGAATTAAGTACCTACATATGTCATAAAGTTTTGCGGTGATAGGAAATCTTAACCACTCACCTACGTGTGACGGTAAAATATTGTTGATAAGTATCGAAATGGTCTCATTTGTAAATTTAGCATCATCCTGCTTCTTAAGTAGCTGTCGTTTCCAACTAAAAGTAAAATAGATATTATTGTTGATGCCTTTTAATAAATTTTTTTAATGCAATTTTTTATAATATGGGTTCAAATTAGAGATGGGCGCGTGAGTGATTTTGATTCACGTTCACGCACGCTCACGTTGATGTTAGTTTTTTAATCACGCACGCTTTTTCAGGGACATTTTTTTTTCAAATCGAAACTTTATTTATGTAAATAGAATTTCATATAAATATTGTTACAAAAGCTTGGCCAAATTCCTTGCCTGGGATGAACGCACTATTATTTTTTTTACAGATATACGTACATATGTATGTGTGTGTTACTTGTATAAATAGAAAAGGATTCACATCAATGTAATATTAAAATGACTAGCTCATATATTTGTTTAAAAATAATATTTTGTCGAGATTATCACCAAGTAGTCGTGCACGTCCTTCTTCTAGAATTCTGCCTGACACAGAAAAAACTCTTTCAATAGTTGTTGAGCTAGCTGCTATGTGTAAAATTTGCCTTGAAAAGATTCAAAGAAGGGGAAAATTTTTAGCTTTCTCCCAAAATTTTAAAACATCGTCACAACTTTTGTTTTCAAATAAATCTTTATTTTCCTTTTACTGTTTTCATAAAGTTTTCCTGCAGATTTATCGTTTGTACCTTTGAATTCGTCAGAAGTGTATACAGCAAATAAGTTAAACAGCAGTAGTTTACCATTTTATTTTGGTTGAAAATACACATACATACATATGTACCCCAGTAAAATAATTATATGTGCAATACTTCAACTTCAACTAGTTAAACGAAAAACCAATACTAGATCTTTAATGTTTACTATAATTAAGTCTGTCAAAAAAATATAAGATACTTTATAAATATGCATTAATTTATAAGAAAATAATTTAATTGTACCATTATGTTGAAATTTTTATAGAAAATATTTATATGTGCAAAGAAATAAGTTGTAGGTTATCGATTATTTTAAAAAAAGTTTAAAAGATATTTTTGTTTGTTGTTTTTGGATTGGATTTCTATTGCACAATTTTATTTGGTTTACACTTTGCGGCATAGATTTTATCGAAGTTTTTTAGTAAAATTTTTATTATTTTTTCTTATTTGTGAAGTTTTGTATACATATTTAAGATTCAACATATTGTCATTCTGTTTTGAATAAGTAAAATTCTTGTGGAGGAATAGATCTTACAAATTCTCAGTGGTATTAAAGCTCATATTTGAAGCTAGATACTCTAAAAGAAAGTATTTCATTCCTTGAATAACGACTTTGTTGGTCGCACGGTATGAATAGCAACGTTTTACCGCTGGAATTTCCAAATATCTTCGGTCGAAATGGGCAAAAAATTCGCAAACTTTTTCAATTCTTCCTACAACGCTTGCAGTTTTTGTAAATGCTAAAAACGCATTTTTGTGCCATAGAGTGGGCTGTGGCTTGGTGATTTTTTTTCCAATTGCAATTGCCACGCCCATTTCTAGGGTTTGTCGCCTTAACGAAATAAAAATATCATATCTGGATAGGTATTCTATCGGAATCCGAAATAAAACTTTACTTTTTGCAAAAACCCGACGCTTAACACCTTACCAAATATATCTTAACATACAAAACATTATTGATTCTCAGAAAATTAACCATATCGTCATAAAGAAAAATATTTTAAAAATAGTTTTTGAAAAACACCCACTTTTTTGAACCACTTTTTTTATAGAGAATTAAACAGGCATTACGAAGGTATAATTTTAAATCCCTAATTTACTCGTCTTCACTATGCAAATCAACTTCAAAAAGTTCAACTGGTAATGGCTAAGATTGCTTTGGGATAATATTGACCATTTTAAGCCCTTTTCTTTTCTGAGACGAAGTCTCTACGATCAGCAGAACCCGGCATATAACGATTTGAAGACGTACAAGATTAGTCAGAATCACGAAAAAATGCAACTTGGACAGATCATATCTTCGAAGAAAAAAAGAAGTCAAAAATTCCTTGAGGACGTGTTAGCTTATTTCATGTGAAGCGAATCGGAGACATTACATAATTTTTTTTTTACGAAATCCGTTCGACTTAAAAAAAAAGGGCTCATATGTCGTTTGGGCTACTCTTTTTGGGTTTGAATAGGGTCGTCAAACTTATGATTTCAATAGTCGTCGGGATTTTTAAAGGAAATTCTTATTATATTCTGCTGCCTGATTACTTCAGCAGTTATGTAACTATCTTCCATGCCACAATAGTTCATTCCGGGCTCTTATTTAGATATTTCAATGTCATGAGATATTTTGGATCATAGTATAACATGGAAAAATAATAAAACGGTTTTTATTATTATGTTTAAGGTTTTACCACACAGTCATCGGTGTAGTTTTCGGTTGAAATTTTTTTTAACCTGGAGCAGGTGGAAGCTTAACAAGTCCTTTTGGCCATATAATTATTTACTATTGATAGATGCTCCAGGTACATTTCTGCATTAAAAAGAAAATTTTGAAAAAAATTTCGCTTACATCTTTTCAACGGTTAGGGCTCGGTATGTTAAAATTACACGATTGACGGCAAATCTAACTCACGCACGCTCGCGCCAGCCAAAGTTTCAGTCACGCATGATCACGGAAGTTACGTAATTTTTCTCTCGAACTCACTTACGCTCACACGTGAAAAAGCGTGGCACAACGTGTTTTGCCCATCTCTAGTTCAAATATAAGTTTCCTTTTAGAAAGTTACAAATGATGAACTATATATAGCTATACATATTATAGTTCCATTATGTATTAGGCTCGTTACCAGATTTCTAATAGAGTCTAGATGCTCATATTTATATAAGTTTGAAGCGTATAAAAGAAGCGTTGTGTTTATAATGAAGTTCCGTGTAAGATTGGTGTAGTGTGAAGCTTAAATGCTAGCGTTGCGAAATAGTATGTATATATAGGGACACGAATTTCGATACAATACGATACCATATCGATACTTTTGGCATTCGATATCGATATTTTCAACTCGATAGTTTTAAAACGATATTTTTTGGATCTCTACGTGTTGTTACATAATATGTTAGTGTTTGACCGAGATTATCCACCGATTTGTCGCGTGCGCCTTAAGTTCTGAACACTTTGAAAAGTTCGAATCGGGTCACAGCTACCAATTTGTTCATTATCTAAACCAGAGATTCCCAAACTTTTTTTTTCTGATAGACCCCTTTCGAAAATTTACTGGTTTCGGTGGACCCCCTAAATATTCTCAAAGCTCGTAAAAAATTAAATGTGAAAATTAGATCTAACAAGGTAAATTTGCATCGCGGGCANCAAAATTAATATACCCTTGTGCACAAGTGCGCTCGGGTATAAAAATAATGTGATTACCCACTTGCAGGTTTTAAAAAAATAGAGCTCGTAAATACATCAAAATACTCTCTCGCTCGGAAGAGTTATATTTTTTAAGATCACTTCGAGCAATAGCGTTATTTACATTATCTTCACCATAAAGTCATCAAATGTTCGGTTCACTCATGACTTTGCACGTGGAGTATATGTAAAATAGTTTATTTGTGTTAATGGCATCATTTTTATTTTATCACGTATTTAAAACACAAAACTTTTAATTCAGAAACTGACAATACAGAAAAAAACGAGTTTAAAAAAATCTATGACAAATAACCAAGCAAGCAAGAAGTACAAAAAGTGTTCCACCGTCTCATCTTCTTTAAGGCAAGATGGGCAAATGGACTTGTCATTTACGCCTATCACAGCCAGGTGTTTGTGCCTCGTGAAGTGACCAGTCAGCAGTTCAGCAAGTTGTCTGCAGTGTCGTCCGCTCAGTGAGAGCAAAAAATTAGATAGACCTTGTGAGATTAACGGCAACATGAGTTTAGCCCACCTGCATCCCTTCGATGCCTCTTAGTCGTTTCTGAGCGAAGTATTCACCCAGTTTCTGATGGTGGCTTCGATTGTCGAAGGTGGGAGTGCTAAAACTGATGGCGGACCGAGGAATGCCTAATCTGAGCAAACTTTGGCCAATGATCATNGCAAGTTGTCTGCAGTGTCGTCCGCTCAGTGAGAGCAAAAAATTAGATAGACCTTGTGAGATTAAAGGCAACATGAGTTTAGCCCACCTGCATCCCTTCGATGCCTCTTAGTCGTTTCTGAGCGAAGTATTCACCCAGTTTCTGATGGTGGCTTCGATTGTCGAAGGTGGGAGTGCTAAAACTGATGGCGGAGCGAGGAATGCCTAATCTGAGCAAACTTTGGCCAAATGATCAGATGTTTCATAACCAGGTACTCCAGAGTGACCTGGCACCCAGAGTAAAACAACCTCGTTATGTTCACCATCATATTTAAGTCGAGACTTGCATTGACGACCTAGTTTGGAAGTACTTAAATAGAGGGCTGGCCAATGCCTTAAGTGCAGCTTGGTTGTCACTACAGACATCACGTAGTCCATGGCTTTGAGTATTGCAATTACCTCAGCCTGGAAGACCGAAGCATATTCCCCAACAGAAAAGTGAAGCTTATCTCCGTTAACTTCGAAAAGGACCCGGGATCATGCCCCAGAGTCAGTTTTGGAGCCATCAGTGAAGATTCGTGTGAGTACGGTCTCAGTGATAGAGTTAAACATTATAGAATCTCTTCAACAAAGGTAATGGCGGCGTACTATCCTGTAGCATTTAAATCTCATACTCATTGTCATACGAGCATCCGGTTCTTTTTAGTATGCAGGTGGCCTTTAAGGTTTCCCCACATATGAACACAAAGTGACGGTAAGTGCAGCACTGCGCCAAGAGCACTATATACCACTAAAAAAATTAAAGTTAATTAAAGAGGCCATCAAGCAGCCATCTTTGCATCGAAACCAGATACATTTTCGTGGACCCCCATTTACAACTCATGGACTCCCATATTTTGTTCACGTCGCCGTGGACCCCCGTCGAGTCTTCCGTGGACCCCTGGGGGCCACCTGGACCACTTTGGGAATCACTGATCTAAACGCTTTGTCGATGACGACAGCATTTTTTTGAACGCGGC